TCATACTATTATTATTTATTTGTGAAAATTTACTATTAACAGTTTGATTGAAACTTATTACAAGACTTAACAAATTTTCGTTTATAATACATGTGATTATTATTGGCGAAATTTCAGTGAGATTTTGGTGACATATTCACTGGGGTTATCCGGGGAAGCCTGTTTAGACTAAGGACTCCTGGATCTACCGCCAAAAAACCCAAAAAAAACAGCATATTATTTGAAAGCCTGAAAAATCAAAAAAACACCATTATTTTAAACTGTGTTAAACAGTGTTTTAAACAGGATCAAGCATAAAAGTTTTATTTTTACACATGGCTTGTTTAAGATTTATATTTCAAACTGGATTATATTAAAAGAGGTTGACTTTTACCAAGTGAAAGAAAGGTCACATGTCCTTTATAATTATTGCAAACAATGTAATACAGATTATGGATTCTATTGTAACAAGGTTGGGTTGACCTTGGTCTGTTTAAATGATAGGGGAATTTTACATTCTTTTATGTATTATTATATTTTTAGGAGTTCAAAAAGAGATAAAATCTATATAAAATAGAATTTGTTTTCATTTTCTTTTCAAATTTGACCTATATATAATGTCATATATTCTTTTTTTAAAGAGGATTACAATGGTTGATGTTTTTTTTTTCAAAATTAAATTGTTTAAAATACAATCTTTACTTTAACTTGCAAAAACAGAATAGGCATATGACAGGGCCAGGTTTAAGGCATTCACCTAAGAACCACTGTATTTTCCTAATACATCAAAAAGGGGCGACATAATTTTTCTAATTTTTGTTAATCTATGAATATACATGTTAAAATGTAAAACAGTTTATAATAATTATAAGTACATTTAATACACATTTATACGGTAAATAGCCTGGGTTACGGAGGATGGTTTAATACATACGGAATTTAGCATGACTAGAGTTGCATCAAAAAATCATTTATGTTCATTTTTTTATGACAGCCACACTTTATCCTTGCATATAGTGGCTCCTTAAAAAAGACACTTAAAAAAAAAAAAGTTGCCTCGACGGGGATTTGAACTCCAGACAGGGTGTGGCACACCCTAAACGAGCACATTACCCCTGCACCTTGGGGATGTTATAAGAAGAAAGCCTGAATAAAATCAAATAATTCTAAATTTCGAATTTCCATTTTGGATTAAAATGTAATCCTTATTAATTTCAAGGTATTTTGTTCACGATAAACTTGTTGTTTAACACTGAAGTAAATAATTTAGTGAAAGTCTTCTCGCCAAAACAGTCCGACATGTATTATATTCCACTACTCGACAGTGAGATTTATTTTTGTAATACGCTAATCGACATCGAGCTAAAAATAGCATTTTCATTGATTAAAATGATATTCATCGGCGTAATTGGTGATTGTGCATTTATTGACAATTCCATAAGCCAACACTACTTTTAAAATTTGAATGCGTTGTAATTCGTTGGATAATACTTGTAACAAAATAAAAATATTTCTTTCTTTTACATCGCTAGTTTTAACTTGTTTTGAGAACTACTTGTTGTTAGGTTTGTCATGAAATTCTGTGCCAGAGATTGAATGTCAGCATTGTATTTCCTGATCTGTGATCAGAAAATACAAAAAGTGGTGGGAAAGCCTAAATCACTTTGTTCCAGTAGTTAAAGGGTTCAAATTTTGGCGGATTTGTGCAAAAATATTCTTTTTTGTTGTAATAACAGTAAAACATAAAAGCTACCCTGACTTAAGAAAATTTTTCCCATGTTACATCTGAATTTTGATAATAGTGCTGATATTGTAAAAACGTTTTTTAATTGATTATGATTATGATGTTTAATACACTGATAATGTCAGATTTAACTTTAAGATGTTCTAATTATTTTCCCACATTAAAATAAAAATGAAATTATACATAGCTGAGTGGTGATCATAATTTGAATGACTTTTGTGAACTTACACTTTTAATTGTGTGAACTCTGAAAATAAATTGCACTGTCATTAATATTAAAAGGTTAGGTTATAAGTTCTTGTGCCCTAATATAAGTCTGTTGGCAGTGACTGATTTTGCCCATATCAAAATTAACCAAGTCATACCTGAGTCCTGTGCTGTCGAAGTGACAAATGGTATGCAATATTGGCTGTTCATTTAGTACTTATTTTTCAATATTCCCTAAAATTGATGAATGGTTTTGTCCAGTTTGAAAGATATGACAAGTTTATTTAAGATATTTAGCGATGTAAGGAAAAATGCACAGTGAAGATTAAATTGTCATGTTTATAGTAAGTGTAGTTTTGAGGTCCTAGGATGCCCTTTTATGAGGACAGACTCTGCTTTTTACTGAACCCCCAGTGCTGTACACAAGTTAAATTTGTCAGAGGTATGAATTCTTGGTAAGCTTTTGTTATCCAGCTTAGGTTTCATTGCTTGTAAAATAGAGAAAATAAGAATCCCTAAAGAAAGTCCAGAATGGCAAAATTGAAAATGTTGCATGCTCGGTTTGATTAAGCCAGTGTTCATGGACAGTAATGTCAAGTGCATAAACTACCATCAACACCCCCTAGCACCGGCGTATAAGTACATGAAAAATGATGATATTTTGAATTTAAATCATAGGCAGATGTGTTCTTACTGCAGTATTTAAAACCATTATTATTATGATTGTGAACTGCAATCTTCATAATGCTAATGTGCATTAATTAGAATAGCATTATATCAGTGTATATAAATCCCATGGTTCTTTTGTGTTCTGTGGTTTATCTATAAATGGATATCCCGAGACATTTACCTGCACGAGACATTTACCTGCACGAGACATTTACCTGCACGTAGAGAAAATTGATTGATTTCACCGCTCACCGCATTTGATTGATTTTTAATCGAGTGGAAATTGGAAGAAAGCAAATTTCATAATAATTTGTAAGCTACCTTCTATTGATCGTTCATTTATTATAATTTATAGAGAAGACATTTGATATAAATCAATTTGATAATATTGAACGGAATTGAAGGACAAACTTTCTCTTAAGTGGTTTATATATAACATGGCTATATTATTTATTTTCCCTGTCATTTGAACTTCTGGTACACTAAGTGCCCGGTGAACATAAGGTATCGTAATATTTTTTGTCATGTCATGGGTTTGATTGCATATAAGCCAAACTTAGACTAAAATGTTAAAATTTTAAAAAAAAATTCAAAACAAAAATGCTTGTAATGCTAAAAAATTATCTATTGTAAAATTTCTTTTTAAATTCCAATTTACAAAATAAATAACAACTCAATAATAATAATAATAATAATAATTGACTATAATGAATTGCCAATTAGTTGATAATTATTTTGAATTCGCAATTTTCTGTGTTATAAGTACAAAACTTTTGTATAGAAAACTGCCATCTGAATAAAAAATAGTTGATAACAATAGCATTTCTTATGTTTAAAAACTGATATATATTTAAGTATGCAAGGAAATTATATTCACCAAACAAAAACCAACAACCCAAATTGTTTTAAAAGGATTTATTTAGGTCAAATGAAAATTGCTGGAGGTATTCGTACTGTTAAAGACAAATTACTTTCATTTTACCATCGACTATCGATCAGTATATCTATTGCTTTAATTACTTTAATTGTTCGACTGGGTCATTATTATAGATCAAAGTGAAAAATATACGATGTACGCTACTCTGTACCTATTGCTTAATCTGATATCGGGGCTAGGAATGTGTTTTTTATTTACCATAAATGGGGGAAAAGTACTTTGCCCTACTTGTGACTTCTTGGACATTTTAATTAAAGCCACTTGTCTCTAGATGTTTAAGCGTTTATTTTGATTGGGATTTTATGTAACATCAAAATGGTAAAAGTCAATATGTTGATTTCCCATGACTAATCTAATGGAAAAAAAAGGGTTTTTGTCATGAAGGGACGGTATTTTTTTTTTTTGACATTTATAATTATAATATAATTATAGCAATTGATGTAAGTCTGAAACTTACAACTTGTGTTTACAGATTTTTATGTTCATTCTGTTTTTCCAGAATATTCTTTTTTTTAATGTTGTAAAATGACCCTGAAATCACAAAAAAAAGAATAGATTTTTAATTTAATTCTGATTTTGTTTCTCTATTTGTCCTGAGTTTGCATATGTAAAAATTTCAAACTTCAGAATATCAGTGGGGCTCCTTTTAAATAGTTACAAAAAAATAAAAACATTTATATTTTTACAACTGTTTATTATTTTGTAATAATTATAAGAATAAATATATATGTAATTCTTTCTGGAGAAAAAATTTCTGGGTTAGCAATAATTGTTAAAGAATATTAAAGACACAGCTGCGGTAGAAGATTGATTGATGAACCATTTTAAATTGATTCACATATCTAAATCATACAAATAGATTTTTATAAAGAGATATTTCAGGTGTGATGATGATCTTTTTAATGTTTAGGGTGTGAGGTAAATGTTGTGATGGATTGGGCTAAAACTCGAGAAAAACACATATTGTTATCTTGTTATTGTAAATTTTGTTGTTATGAAAAACAAAACAATGTAATGCTGTTCATTTGATGTAAATAATCTGATTGTTTATAAATGTGTCACAGAGGAAGTAAAGGGAGATCACTTCGTCTGAACTAAATCAAATAATATTGTTTGACAATATACAGAAAATATAAAATTGATGCAAAAATGTAGATTGTTAAAATAATATTGTAAAATAATAGTTAAATTTATATACTTCACTTTATTTATTTTATGTGTACAACACATGAATCAGATTAAGTGATAGCTTTGGATTTATTATACTTAAAAATTGAATACTGATACAAAAAGGTTTAGAACTTTTAAAAGTTAATTTTTAGTATTAAGTACTTTATCTTTTTCAAGACTTCATGGTCAAAAATCATCCTGTATGTATTCTGAAAATGACTTCATTTATTAAATACTGATTCTTTTGATTGAATAATTGAAATATTTATTTTGATTGACTTTTTTTCATTTCAGAAACCAGACTGTATGGTGAAATAAAAATTCCTGGAAATTCAGCTTGAAGATATAGAAAATTATTATAAGAACTGTGGATTCTGTAAGTCATACTATAATGGAATAATACTAGATGTATAGTGTTGCTATGCAACAATTCAAAAGAGATTTCTCTGTTACCAGCCTGTATTTATGGGGAACCAGTTGGCAATGACTTCTTCAAGCCAGGTGCTAGTAACTGTGTGGAATAAACCATGGCAACAAGTAAACACTTTCCGCTTCAGAAGTTCACCAATCACACTGAAAATGAAGACTATAATCTCAATGAAACACCCTACAACTCAGTGAGCTCATTTAAGAGTTACCATAACAACCAGAATAGAACCTCTGTCACTTCTGCTCCACCATACATTAATGTGTTTGAAGTTACTAATGGCACATCAGATCAGCCATACAAAGATGTTAAAGGTGACATTAAAGAGATTTCTGTTGAAGACAATGCACGTGTTGAAGAACCTTACATAGATAATACAGTAGTTTCTGCATACAAAGGAACTAAACCACCCATACCTGCTCATAAACCCCGAGTTCTAAGAATAAAAAATTCAAAGTCCCGCCAAAATACTGCAAATGTTAACAAAAACAAGCCAATAACTAATGAAAATCCAGAATCCAAAAAGTTTGGTGTTGAAAATTTACAATCAATAAGTCAACAGCTTCAAGATGGGAATAAAGAACTTAGGCGACATAGGAACTCAAAAGAACTTTCGCAAGCAAGTATTGCGAAATTCTCAAATAATATCCAAGAAAATTCAGATGAAAGTATTAATGACCTAAGTGCGTCATTAAGGGAAGATTCTGGTGTTGCGTCACCAGATTCACAGAACGAGCATGAAAATGGTCGCCATAGTTCCATGTCTAGAAGAAAATTACCAAAAGTACCAGTACATATGGCTCAATCTAAAATAATGCCAAGTTTGAAAACTGATAGTGAAAAAGAGTTGAAGGCAGTTCCAAATTGCAGAGCTGTAGTGCCGAAGTTAAACCATGTTGTAAGTGAACAAGAAAATTATGAGAATGTTGAAAGAAAGAAAGCAGTACAGTCTGAAAATGAATTGGTAGCAGAGTCTGCAAATGTTACACACAAATTGACAGGTATGGACCCTGAAAAAGATTCCGGTATTCCTTTACCAAGGGTCATGAAAAGGTTTAAGAAAGGGAGAGTTAGAGACAAAAACAGGTCCCTGTCTGTTGGGGATCAAACTAAAGAAATTGCTGAAAGAGCTAATAGAATGATGGCAGGTACAGGAGATGTTGTAGGTAGAATTGATGTTGATGTGAATATTTTAGAAAGGAATAAACTTAAACCAAGTGCCAATGAAGGATTTATTAAGTCAGTTAACACTAGTCAACAAGGATTTAGCAATCATTCCTCTGAACATGATAGTGAGATTAAAGCAGATATCAAAAGTGTGAAGTTGACAGAAAATAGTGCTAACAGTATTGAGACTTCTGTTGAAGTGTGCCATAAGCATTCAAATAATAATTGTGATCAGGAAGAAGAGAATGCTTTGTTCCTGCAGAATAAACTTGAAAATGGTTCAAGGCATTTATGTAATGATAAGACTGAAGATGATAATGTAATTGGTAGTGATCATGATGATTATAGTGTTGTTGAGACATTGAATAACTTAGCCAACACTGTATCACCAGAACAACTACCTGGAAATACGTTCTTTTCATTTGACCATGAGGTGATACAACAATTAACTGATAGTATTATGGAAAAGACAGATGAAGTGGGTGATACATCTGGTGATAAGTTTGAAACTAGTAAACATCTTGAAGCAGGTATAGCTGATGATGATAGCAATTTAATTAATGATAATTTATCTAATAAAAACTGTGATAGAACTACCTCCAGTAAAAATAAACTTGGTATTGAAGGGAAATCAGTTAATGAGAAAAAAGTAGATGAAATTGATACAAATCATGAATCAAAAAGTAATATTAGTGTTAATTTAAGGCAAGATGAAAATTCTGATAAAAGTGATAATATAAACAAAGAAAATATAGTTTGCAGTGCAAGATCTCAGAAAAAGGTGGAAAGGTCTCCATCTTATCGAAAGAAAGTAATGGCAAGAGCTAAAAGTAGGCACAAGAAAAGTTCAATGTTAAAGGAATGTTCTTGTACAAGAAACGAAAAGGGAGATATTGTAACTTGCCAATTTTGTGAAAACTATGAGAACCGTAAAAGAAGAAGTCGATCTAGTCTTGGATTAGAAAGCGTTGGAATAAATAAAGAGCTGTCAGAGTTAAGTGAGGGTGAAAGTAGTGATATATCTTCATACAGCGACCTTTCAAATAGAAGACGTGCATTTTCACCAGGATTACCTCCCTTACCATCCAGTAAAAGTCCTCGCCCTTTGAGAAAATTACAGGTTTCTTCAAGGGTAGATGTACTCATGAGCTCTGAGTTATTTAAAAAGCATTTACAAAAACATGAGAATCTACTGCACAAACATACTGTTTTAAGACGAGCCGGTATGAGGAAATCCGTCTCAAATCTGGATTTATCTGAAGGTTATATTATAGATTCAGACAGTCAATGTGACACAGAAAGTGTTACAAGTGAAGCTACATTTGAAACTGATACAAGTGCCAAAGATGATCTTGTTTCTCAGTCAAGTGCCAAAGACGAATTTCTTTCTCAATCACCGGACATGAGTGTCTTCACAAATAAGAATTCAAGAAGACATTCTTTAACAGGTGATTCTGATTCACCTGCAGAAACTTTGCAGAAAAGTAAAAGGAAACATTCAAGAACTCTGCCTACCACTGTAGGACGTTCAAGGATGCCTATACCATCTTTTACGCAACCAAATTTTAGTGGATCAAAATCCAGACCAAATATTCCAACTTTCAAGGAATTTAAAGTCATGAAAGAATTAAGTAAGTCAACTGAGGCCCTAAATATATCTGAAAATGAAAGTCCACAGACAGGACAGATTAGGGCAAAGGCATTTAGTGATTCAAGTTTTGATCATGTAACATGTAGGAATGATATAGAAAAGGTTGACAACGAAAGTGAAAGAGTATTTGAGATGAGAAATGAATATGTTGAAAAAAGTAAAACTGAGGAACTTATTCCTGTACAATTAGAAGTGATTAAAGAGAGTCACAGCAAGGAAAATTTATTAACTTTAATTCCAACCACAGATGTGGAGGCACCTAATCATGGCAGTACTCAAATAAATGTAAGTGTTGAAAATAATAGTCTAAGTGAACAAAAAGACAAGATTATAGGTAAAGCTGCTCAAGAAATACATGAAAAGCGCAGTGATTTTATTGAACCAGTAGTAGGAAATAGTAACAAATTTATTGAAGAGAATCAGAAAAAAATAGATTATCATAAGGCGCTTACTAAACAGCAAAGCACACCGGAAATGAATTCTCAAAAACACCGTGTCCGACCGAAACTAAAATCTAGAACAATGTCAAGGTTAGATATTGATTCGGATGGGTTATCAGATACTGCAAGTGGGCCTGATTCTGTAGCATTTAGGGAACGTAGAAAACCAGGTGCTAAAAGACCGAGATCTTTGATATCAAAGAAATCTAGTCTGTCATCGTTGATTCAAGAAGCCGAAAAAGCCCAATATTTTGAAGATGCTGATAGTAATAGTGACAAATCCATCAGAGCGAGGCCAAAGTTGAAGGCTGGACATGTTGTGAATAGGTCTAAGTCTGATTCTAAATATGAAATAGAGAAAGGCAGAGAAAGTGAGTCAGACTCCAGAAATGACAGTAGTTTGATGCTTGAAAAGGGAAAGAACACTGTTTGTTTTGATTTAGATGATAGGAGCCAGTGCTCTCCCTTTGATATAGGAGAGTCAGAGACATCTACCTCAATGATAGAGAGCTTGTCAGGCTTGTCAGATAGTGTAAGATCTGAGGTAAGATTGTTCTACTTTAATTTTTTTTGAAATTATTAAATTATAGCTATTATATAATTAAAATGAAACAAAACACTGTTAAAAGATGAAAAAATCATTGCTGTAATGAGTCACATGGGCTTTAATACCATTCATCAGTCAAAAATAACTGAAAAAAGTAAGCTCCTTGAATATAAATTGTATTTTTATGCAAATAACACACAGTCATTAATTAATTATGATTCTGATTAAACTTTACATGATTATAAAGAAAGAATAAATCAAAATATTGTAATAACTAGGTCAGGTGAAATATGGAGAAAAAGTTGGTAATTTTCACTTGTCTAAAAATTATACTTCTGCTGTTACATAAAATTTTTAGATCATAACTACAAGTTGTTTTATTTTTATCATAATTATGCATAATTAACAGTAAAATGAGAACATGAAGTTGCTTATGAAGACAAATGAAAAATATCATTTTTAGGCAGAGCTTCAATGTTTGATTATAAATTACATGTAATGGCTTTTAATGAAGAAAAAACAAATTTACGACAGTTAATGTTCATTTTTAACAAAATATTGTTTGGCAAACATTTACTTGTGTCTGACTATAAGATCAGTCTTATAACTGGTGAACAATGTGACAGGGGAGGCATTCATGGTCGAGTTGTTGAGGTCAATAACTTCAAACCACTTGCCCGTCACCACTGTAGGATCATATCCCGCCTGGGACTTAGGATTCTGCCATGTTAGGAAGCTATCCAGCTATCTTACGGCATGTTTGTGGTTCTACTCAGGTGCCTGCTTGTGCCTGATATACCAGCTTAAATAACTGCAACACAATCACTTGTTTACTCAATAATGGGAACTCTATTAGCTCTATAATGTCAACACAACTAGTTTGCATGATTTAATAATGGTGACTCTGATAGCTGTCATAATGGCATCATATCAACACAACCAACTTGCATGATTTAACTATGGCAACTATTAGCTGTCATAACAAAAACTCTACTAGCTGTCATAATGGCATCATGGCAACACAACCAACTTGCATGATTTAATTATGGCAACTATTAGCTGTCATAACAGCAGCTCTACTAGCTGTCATAATGGCATCATGCAAAACAATCAGCTTTCAATAATTGATTTAATAATGGTGACTCTGATAACTAATTACATTATGGTACAATGGCAACACAGTCCACTTGCATTCAATAATGGCTACTCATTGAGCTTACATTGATCTTCAAGGGGAAATGGCATTGAAAATAACACTGTAAAATTACCAGTAATATTGGAGTAACAGATGGCCATGCTATACTAGACAAGATGTTATTGTCAGAATAGTGATGGTGACATTGCCAACTTGCCATGATCTCAAAACTTTGCTTTCATTCTATCATTTTATGTGCCTTTCATGGATAGGTGACGATGGTCTGGCTGTCTAAAAAAAAATTACCAATACTCTTAACTTGCGGGAACCAAAGGTGATGCCTTTCTCAACAGTATACAGCCAGGCCAGCCTGTACTTCCTTGCTGTTACTATTGATAGCTCAATTTTGTATAGTGAGATTGACATCCCTAAACATTTGAATGGACTGTTCCAAATTAAAAGCTGGGCAAATCCGTTATAAAAATCAGCAATATGAATGGTTAAGTGAAAAGTTTTGTTTGCACAACTACAGCTGTTACTAAACAAATAAGGAACTTCATTAACAATTTTATATCCCTCACTCAGTGAGAACTGTTTATTCAGGAATGAGATATTTCTACTAATCAACTTAAAGACTTTAATGACAGTGTTGTATAACTCTAGAACTGTTGGCTGGCTAATCAATAAAGCCTTATATAAATATCTTTGCTACATGTCAAATTCTTGCATTTTAAGTTAATATTCCTACATTGTTTAAAGTAGCATTCCTCCAGATTCATGCTTATTTTAATATAAATTTTGAAAATGTTTTTAAAAGTAAAATATTTTGAAGTGAATAAAAAAATGTAATTTACTCAATGCAAACGGGACTAACAGTCCATGTAAATTACAATAATGTGTTCAAATTATGCATAAATTTAATAGCCCTTACAGTGTAAGTCATGCAGTATGACTGATGGTGATAAATACTGTAAAATTTGTCATTAATTGCACATAACATGTAAATTATTACTAATGAATCTTTTTACTTTAACTTAACTATCCAGCACTGAGATTTGAATTTATTTCATGACATTTTACTAGCAATTTACTTTTAACTTTGATTGGAACATAATTCTGTATACATGACATGTAATTAAAATAGAAATAACTGTAATATATTCTACAATATTCATGTAGTTTGTAGTCAAATTCATTTGTTATGTTTTTATGACCATAAAAAATGACAGAAATGTTTTTCTTTAGTAATTCTACCTAAAACTCTATGAAACAGATCTTGGAAATGTTTTTTCACTTAGTAATTAGAAGCATGGAAATTTTTTCATTGGATTTTACTGGAATATTGCATTTTCCACTCTCTTTTCTAGGTTAATGCAGAAGATAATTTACAGCTTTTCAATGATCAAGATGACACTGGGAAGCTTCTCCATGATCCAGATGATTTTGCAGCAGAAGACACCTCCATTTTGGAACCACTGAAAGATGAACTTGTGGTAAGTTGTGATGTCATAGCAACTGATCATTTACATGTATAAAGGTTTTAAGTTGAACAAACACTGCCAGAGTCACAAGGTTCACTGTACCTAAAGCCATCCTGATTGATGGAAAGAAGTATGAAGTCTCAAAACAGTTGCATGGGATGAATATATGTTATAATAGTGAACTTTGATAGTGACACACTTATATATTATACATTATAGCTATATAGATCACCCCAACCCGTCCCCCAACACACGCACACACACACTCACCTGAAAAATAAAAACAACAAACGCACCACACAATTTTGTGCGCATCCATATATTGACTTTATTTTTCAGTCATAACTACAGTTAACTGTCAGATTGTCAGCTTTCCTTTGATGGCTTCTGATAATTAAATGCATGGAAAATTATTTTATTTCCCAGAAATGCCATTGATTCTTGTGGTGAAAATGTAATATTTCTTGAGATGATTAAATGAACAAGAGATTTTATCTTGTTGTTTACATTGATTAATAAATGACTTAGAGTTGTTAATTAATTGAAGAAGTTGCCCAGAAGGAATGAAACATAATTAAGCATACATAAAAATGTAAACAAAATTCTAAGGTCAAGGTCAAATGATGTGGTCATTGACATTTTATATTGTTATTAATATTTATGTGTCATAAAGCAGTATTTATTACATACACTCTGAGTTACAGACTTACATAAAATAAGTCTAGGAATGATATATTACAGTAATTATGAGCCTATGGCAAGTTTTATGACAAGGTCAGTTACAAGTTTTATGTTAGTCTGTAGAAAAACAAATATAAATTTCTTTAATTCACATTCTATATTGCCCGAAAAATTGTAAAAAAACACAAACAAAATCATATTTGAAAGGGAGGATAAAAGTTTTAAAAATGTCACCAATTCATGAATAATGGTCGATGGTTGACATCATGAACCTTTACTGTGCATTATATTTAACCCTTTTAAAAGTTATTTGCCTTTGCCACCAGTATAGAGTCTGAGGCTAAACCGCCGTTTATGTGCATTTTGACCCAAGACTCTTCACTACTGGTAGCTCTGTTTTTGTATGGACTCAGTTCCAAAATCAATGTAGGGCCGGCAGTTACATTTTACCCAATTTCAGCAGATATAACAGGTTGATATGATCTTAATATTTATTGTTCGCTTTAAAACTAGAAATTTTTAATGTTCATTTCCACATTGAAACAATGTCTTGTGATGAAGCTATATACCTTTATTTAAAGCAGCTAACCTACATGAAAGATTTTAACCTTTAACCCATACCCTGCTGATTTCTGTAAATGAACTTGTACATTATCTCATCTTCATTATTTGGAACTGTCCATTTTCAATTTTGGGGGTATCAAGATAGAAATTTAAAAGTTACTCATGCAGGCAGCAGATTATAGAGCTTGGTTGGACCCCAGCCCTGTGCAGACTGGCCTGGCTTTAGACTGATGGCGAAGACTAATTATTTTAAGTTCTAGGGCAGGCTAAGGGTTAATAATAGCAATTATACGGGGACTGCAAGTTTCACTTTTCAAGAATGTTAATACTCAATAATAGTGGTCTGTGTCAATTGTTGTGCATGATAGGAGTAATAGTTAGCATCCCCCTTGTGGCTTCAGGGTTGCCCTTAAGGGTTGTGGCATCAGAATGGCAGCCATTGTTTATCCCTGCATGATCATAAGAGGTGACTAAATGGGTTCAAATTACTTGAATCTATGCTCTTCTTAGCTCCAACAGATGAGGCTGCGTGTGAGTTTTGACCCCATTATATATTATCTGAGGTTAGCCAAAATCGTAACTCCTGTTTCGGCATAGTATGACCTAAATTGTGTTCATGTGCAAAACAAAAGAAAAAAATTGTTAAGTTTATGCAAAATATGAAATACAATTATTATTATTTTCCACCTGAAATCCTAGAACTGTAGTTCAACTGTACTTAAAAACAAATAACAGTAAAAATCTGTTCTTTTTAAATGAATAATGAGAATAACAAATGAATTTGGAAAGGAAAAAAGGTGCAGTTGTTTGTATTAAGACATCACAAAAATGATTAGAAAGAATTAAATATAATGAACTACCGGCGATATAAATGGAACATAATAGCAATTAGCATGAACATAGTGCATGTACTTGATTATTTAAATTTGCTTTTGAAATATGAACATCAAATTACTGGATTGATAAATGTTCTTTTTGTAACAATAAGTCCAAATATTGGTTATTGTAGAATTTTGGTTTGGCATCGTTTTTACATTGATTCAAGCAAATTAAATGTTTTTGCCAATTTAGGGATTTGGCCCCATTCTTCAAATGGAGATCCCTATCTGACCACTGGTTAGGCAACCACAGGTGTGACCAGGAAGCACTCCTGGTCTTAAAGGTTCTAAAGCGGGTTAAAGTTGGTGACTTTAAAGGGGGCCCTTCTTATTGAATAGGCATTATTTTAAAGGGGAATTAAGTTTTTAAAAAATAGTTTTTTTAATTAAATCAATAAAAATTATGAAATTTTTATGACGATTTTTTTTTTAGCATTTAAATGTTTGATAAAGCAATGTGTGGTATAATATAATTATCATAACAGTGGGGTCATCATTCCTGTATATAAGAGTTGATTTTAAAGTTAACGTTTTCTAATAATGGAGTGTGAAATTAGCTTTTCAACATGATACCATGTCATTGTCCTTTTAGGTTTTTCCAAAACAACAGAGAGAAAAATTATTCATGTTGTAATGATGAGATGATACCTGAGTACGAAATGACGCCAAACAAAACATTCTAAATTTATAAAACATTCATTACAAATATGATAGGTTTTTTCTCCTTTTAAAAACATCAATTATACAAAAATCTTCTTTAATTAAGTTGTTTATTCCATTCTCCATTTTATTTTGTTCACTGGTTTCAGAATTATAAGGTGAATGTTCAATTATGATTTTCTTAAATCATGGAAAGTTTTTAAAAAAATACCTGTTTGCTTGTTTAAATTTCCTTTCTTTTTGTATGTAATAAATGAGAAGAAACTTTTAGAAATTAACATCTCTTTAACAAAAACTGCCAAATTGTGATCTTGGCCTTTCATTAAGTGCTTGAACCTATGACCTCTAACAGAACTGGCTTATACTTTAATTTTAGTTCTGTGCTGTGACATATTCTTCAAGTTGATTTCAGGACACATTGTTAATAACTCATTTTGAATTTCTTTATTAACACTATTTTCAAAGTTATTAATAATACAAAAAATATAATTGGACAATAGATGAACATTTTGATATCTCAAAAGCCAAATTTGACAATTTCATTCAAACTAAATCAACATAGAAAGTATGACATCACTTTATTCCAGTGTAATTATTTTTTCAGTCACAAGTTTTGCGGTCAACCTCAGATGCATGTGAAACTACCCAGGAGGCTGCCCGAAAAAGGAGAGATAGAAAAGAAAGGCCATATAAGAGTGACCCATTCTCCGGCACTGAGATTATACCAGCATCAAAAAGATGTGTACTGAGAGAAGAGAAAGCAAGTAGGTTATGATTTAACTTTTCTTGTAGGATAATTATTTCTCTTAACTATTAATAAACTGTTCTTGTGTGATAATTATATGTCCATACTATAAATAATTTTTTTCTTGTTAAATATCTATAGCTTTAGTATAAGCTAGCTGTTCAATTGTAAGAAAAACCCATAGCTTCAGTATAAATAAGCTGTTCTTATGTGAAGGAATATCTAAATTTTCACTATAATTACAGAGCTTTTCTTATAAAGAAATATCTATAGTTTAACTATAATTAATAACTAAGCATGTTTAAGCAGTTCTTGTTATAAAATAAATATCTGTTAAGTTTCACTATAACTTAGCAGTTCTTGTAAAGAAATATCCACAGTTTCAGTATTAAATAGGCTGTTCTTCTAAAGAAATATCCATAGTTTCAGTATTAAATAGCTGTTCTTGTATACATATAGCTTGTTGTCCATAGCTTAAAGATCCTGTAACACATTTTTTATTGTTTTATATCATAAATATGATGCTCAAATTAAGATTTATCAATATTGTAATATTTATAAAGATATTACCAAATTTAACATTTCATGTAAATAAAGGGGGGTAATTAGAAATTTGTTTTCTATATTAAAGTCTGTAAGGAATGCATATATTTTAATGATTACATATAATGTGCACCACAAATATTTGCAGTACATATTTTACATATTCTATGATGTTTGAAAATTGTTTTATAAGATATATAAAATTTCACTTACTTGTGGTAACATTTGTCTCCTTAATTACAACATAAAGGATCTTTAACTAGTACTTAGCTGTTTTTGTAATAGAAATATCCATAGCTTCTCTATTATTAAGTTTAATGATTAATAATTATTTGATTTAAATCAGTGTTATATTTAAACATCAATACAAGCAATATTTAACTCTTATAAAAATTTTGTATTTTATTGCACAAACTTTATTTGCATTACTTCAGAGCTACGGCAGCACATGGATTTTGCGAACTCCTCGAAGGAGGAGATTTTAACCTTCCTGGATGGTGTTAGTCATGGAGATTTAGCAAGTTGTGACAGTGTCCCCAGTCTGGAAGAGCTGAATGAAGATGATGAACAGGTTGGTGGAATGACAGTTATAGATACGGTATAACCTCTGCAGAATGACCCTCTATAGACCAATTACCTCTTTACAACAACAATATTATTTCTTCCCTAAAGGAAACAATTTCTTTCTTGAACCATATCTATCAACTGTTTGGTCAGATTATAATCTTATCATAAAGATAATTAGAAGATCACAAACAAACACAGTTTATCAAAACATGTTTCGCCTTAATAAGTTTCATCAGCTGATATGATAAAGAACATAGGAAATGACATAAACAATTTAACCAAACAAGCACATATAATTTTCGAAAGATTTATATAATATAACTGGATCAAAAGATACATACTTTTTCACAGAGAAGCTAGGCTAGTATATAAATTCAACAAGTGTGAAAATAATAGTTACTTATGTGAAAGTTAAGAATTTCGATAAATGCTGTCAAGATCTGCATGTGTAATTTATAGAGTAATGGCCTTTTGTAATTCTAAAGTTGATATATTGTGATGGAAAAATAGAATAGAAATACACTTTTTTTCAATAAATCTTTTGTAATTAATCTTATAAAGTTCAGTTTCTGTTTAGTTTGAAAGTCATTCATCTAAAATCTTTTTTTCATTGTATTTTACAAAGCTCATCCTTGCCGTACAAATAAATTCTTTTAATTTGAAAAGAAATGAAAAAGCAAAAAAACCTGCCTTTGAATCAGATCCTTTTTTAAATTAGAGAAAAATCAAAATCATATATTGTGTTTTGTTATGATCTTATTTACATTTTACACGAAATAAATCAATAATGAAGAGGACCATTTTCATGGTCAGTTGAATGTGATGTTAGTGAGTTGAGAGAATAATAATTATAATCTGTTGACTTTGTTGGTATAAGGAAATCTGACACCAGATGTCATTTAATTCATCACAGTGCTGTTAGAGTATGTATTCTTCCTCGTGAGGGCATTGTTCTTACTAACGCCCAGTAATAACGATTATTTCCTTAATATGAAAAAAAAAGTAAGCTAAATTTTACTGTGTTAAAGGAAGGTAGCAAGAGGTAAACAAAGTGGTGTTTTGACTTCTATACAAAATAGTGAATTACTATAATTGTACTAATCCAAATTGCCAAAAAAGCAAAAGAAGAAAAAATTGGTTGAGCTGATGTAGAAGCACACTTTTGGTGTTTTAGAAATTGATACAGGACACCTAGGATAAAATTATTTTGAGAAATGAAAATTATTGCATTTTTAGGGCTGGGCCTTAAGCAGAAAATAAGCTTCAGAAATTGTCAAAAATAATTTTTCAATTTCAGTCTTGAGTACATGGCATATTTCATTTTTGTCTCTTACATATATTTTTTATTCCTTTTGATACTATTAATTATATAGCTTTGGGGTAAAACAGGGTGCTGCCATGATGTGGTATATAGTATAGATGTTGGCGGTGATTGATAATAACCTCGTATTAAATGATGTCATAAACCACATGATATGGTTACCATGTAATTACTTTAATTTTCATCAATGGACTCCACCTTCTGAAAGTAGTTTATCGCACCTCAATATTGTTCTATTTAAATCTTATTTGAATGTTTTAGAAATATCAATGTTTTGTATATTAAAGGTATATTTGTTTACCTGATTGTTATATTTATAAAAGTTATTTTAAGTTAACGTAAGTACCGTATTATCCCCCACATCAATACCTGATCAACTTCTTTAATACGAAATTGAAATGTCTAAAAACAGAATGGTATTTTTTGTTACAATTATCAAATAAATATATAAAGGCCAGATAAAAAAATAGATATTTTCAGTCTTTTTAATTTTTTGCAAAAAAGGGAAGCATCAGTTATAAAAATTGTAATTTTCAAAATTCTTTTATTGAAATTTGACTGTTTGTCTCACAAAAAATCTGACTGTGTTGATTTTTTTTCTTTTTCATTCAATTCTACAAAAAGTGTTTTAATTTGGACACCTTACCCCGGTAACTATCATTTATTTTGTTTGGTCTTAAATATCAGCTAGGTGTTTCAGGAATTTTTCATCATATTTAGAGAGCTTTACCCTATAAATGAAACCAATTTTCTTTCTATTCAACTGAGATTAGTATGACTGGGCTCTTTTGAAGAAAAAAATATAAGAGAATGATGTTAATAATTTTAATAAAAAGAAAAATGATACTATATAATTATGTTACTAATATATCACTTGTAAGAATAAGAAAAAAAAAGTAACTAGAAAAAAATTCTATTTATTAAAGGGACTAGATTGATGTTTTCTGACATGATTGGACTGGAATATTTTTTTTTGCAAGATTTGCGTACCATTTGATTTAGCTCACTCAGTTTTCCAGAATAATAATTGCTATTGTTCAAATTAATGCAAAAACAAACAGTGTTTTCAAGTTTTTGACTCAAATTTGTCTAAAAATCAAACAAACAAATCGATTTTTAATAAAATTCTAGATATGATGATAGATTATTATTAAATTAAATTAAAATTTAAAATAAATTGTTGTGTACTTGTGTAATTTTTTTTATGTTTTTAGGATTTTGAAACTGACAGTTCAGCTCCTTTAAGGCTCAATAATTAGCCGTTCTGTAGTTGCATGCTCAAAAGTCAACCACAGTTCTTTTATTTAACATAATTTTATACATTTTCTTTTCCAATATGACCATCTTTAAAAATATATGAGCTTCCAAAACATGACTTAGGTTTACAAGCATTTTCATCCTCTTAATTCATACTTCTAAGACCATTGGCTTGTAAACAAATTAACAATTATATTGCTTTAGAACCCACATCACCTCTAAGCCATTGAATCAATGCCCTGAAACACTCTTCAGAGGTTGTGAAAATTGAAATAACTAAGCTAATTGTGCACATATAGACAACAATGTATTAGAACCTCAGACATGCAACAGGGTGCAGATAGAACATGTGCTCTCTTTCTCACCCTAACTCAGCTCTTCAAACTTGCTAAAATTATTTTAGTTATTTATATACTGGTATATATGTTATAATTATGTTAATGAGTAAGGTGTAGGTATGTAAACAGTGCAGATTTGAGCTTCAGTTCCCTACATGTACTGACAGCATTTAAATGTCACCAGATGGTATTGAATAAAAACTTTCTGTTTATTGAAAGTATATGATAAATTTAACAAGTCTTTGAGAACTGTTGTGGCATATTGGTGTAACTCTAAAAGTAGCTTGCTGTCGACAGTAGATTCTAAACCAGATGCAACCAGTGAAGTCCAAAATCAGGCAGCACATAAATATCATATTCATGAAATGAGTGAAAGATGAGCATGTCCATTTAAGATATTTAACAAGGAAAGGGATAATTCGTATGTTCTACAAATCCATGTTAATGTACAAAGGCTAGTGTTTCCTTATAGATAATTTTTAAAAATTATTGATTCATATAACGTTCTTGATTTACAGTTACGGAGACTTTCTATGGGCGTTGTCGAACCATCGAGGAAAATACGCAAACATCTCAGTAATGTAAGCTCTCTAAGTACCGACAGTGGTGTGATTGGTCAAGATGGATCACATGACTCCCAGCAGAGCAGCCCTACCAATACCTTGTCACATTCCGAGAAGACCATGTCGTCATGGCAACCGTCTACCAAGCAAAGGTCAATGAGTTCAAGTTGTTCGGATGTCTTCAAACAGGTCAGTTTTCTTGCTGCACACTTGCATTGAATAAGTGCTCATAGGTTTTTGCCTTTATTGTAATACGAAGAAATCTATGTGATATGAAATAGAATAGTTCAGTGTTCTGCTCATTTCAGTTGGTTTGTGATTTGTCTGTTGCTTCAGTAAGAAGTTCTTATTGTTGAATCAGAAGCTTAACAAAAAGAAATTTGGATTGCCAATTTGCTGTTGAATGGTGATAAGTCCATGGTTCTTCAAGTTCCACTACTTTCAGTATTCCAAGAAAATTCTGGAATAGGGAAGATCTTTCAAAGGCATTTAAGATGACAATTGCAGACTTGCTTTTATTAAGTTTTTCTTAAGAGACAATGAAATTTGCAACATCTCTCAAGCCCTCTAGCACAAGCAGTATTCAATCCTCAATCAAGTTGATGTTTTTCTGAAAACATATCAATTTTGCCTATCAGAACAAGTTTTTAAATTTTCATATAAATCAATACAAACAAGGATTCAGACTTCTTAAATCTAGTAATTCTAAATTTGAATAAAAGATACACATAGGAGTCTCTGCATACAAACATTACCATAGCCAGCTGTCGACAGCAGATTCTATCTATGTAACCAATGCAGACCAAGATCAGCTCGGACTCAGTCATGCTGTCTGATCATGGTCTTCATTGTTTTCTATTCAGTCAATAAGTATTTTGAAATTTTCCCTCAAAGTGATGAATGGTTTTGTCTGGATTGAAAGATGGACAAGTTGATCCATGTTAATAAAAGATATAAATGAACAATAAAACTAGATTTTACTTGAACAATTATTGCTTAATTAACTTTATTGTATTTTCCAAGAAAGAAAACAAATTTTCCTTTTCTGGAAATGAATTGAAACTTGTTTTTGAAGCAAATTTCTATCATACAAAGAGAAGAAAATAAATAAATTAAGAAATAGATTGGTAATTAAGTATGCCAAACTCTCAAATTTACCCTAATAAAAGTGGGTCAATAATCCAGATGTAAATAATGATTGAACTTTCTTTGGATAAGATTTTTTTTTTGGGGGGGGGGGGGGGGGGGTTGGTTTTACGTCACCTCAACACAGTATAGGTCATATGGCAACAGTAGAAGAAGACCTCAGGTGCCCTTAATTCTATGCATTATTTTTAGGCACGAACAGGCACCTGAGTAAGAACCAAGAGGGTTCTGTAAGCTGGATAGCTTCCTCACATGAAAAAATCCAAACTTCCTGTCGGGGTACAAACCCACAGTGGTGTGGGGGTAAGTGGTTTGAAGTCAACAACCTAGACCACTTGTCCATGGATGCCCCAAATTGATATTATAAATAAAAGAATCTGAATAATAATGGTGGTAAAAATTACCATTAATAGCTTGGTCATGTGCCCTAAATAAACTCTTTTTCCAACACCCAGAAATATTCCTGTCAATTTAAAAACAAAAAAGTCACTGTAAGGAATGTGCTCTTTTACAAATTTTTCATTTAATCACTGTATGGAAAGAGCTACTCCTTTGCTTTCAATAGCAGGACATTTATTTCTCAGTATTGGAAAATACATGGTTTTAATTATCTCTGAGACAAGACGAGGTACAGCCTATAGTCTGCCTGTTATCATGTGATATATCAGATATTGACTTTAAAGCGCGCATAGCAGCCAAGAATTTGTCATTTACGATAAGGTATTGCAGAGTGTTCAAGGTGATAAGATTTCATTAAATAACTGTTATTTGTTTATAACTAAGAACTGATTTGGTGTGAAAAGATATTTACTTTTATGTCTAACAATATATGTTGATATAACTATGTTGTGAACAGTGGCTGGACAGGAATTGTGGAAAAAAATATATGATTAACAACATATATGATTGAGTTACACAAATTATAAATATAAAGTGTGCATCATATAAAAAAGACTGAATGGAATGGACAAGTAAGCGAAGTTTTGAGAAAAGTAACATTTCCATTCGGAAAAGGCAACATACAGGCAATATGGGTGTATTACACGAGATTTCACAACAATCCCAGGTCAGTTAAATAAAGCTATTTTCTCTTTTTTTGGCAAAATTTGACAAAGTTGAAGTTTTAAAATGAATTTAGCAGTCACGGTAGAGATTTTGTTTCTTTCAAAATCTGAAAATAATTTTTGGTGCTAAAGAAAGCAATGTATGATATGTATAATTGCTATCCAGGAACTTTGATAGGTATATACCTTAAGAATAAATTTCCTAAAGATTCAAGTATATACTTCTAGAATGAATAACCTTATGATATATATTGTTAGAAATAACTTTATACAAATCAAAGCTTTTTTATTTAATGTACAATTTATATTCTTCTCAATTTTGTTTGTATGTTTTCTTTTTTGACAAAATTCAAATTCTTACAGGTGACTGAGTTTATCTTTTAAATCAGTACAAAGTGATAATAATTTATTTTTTTAGTCTGAAAACAGGGTATTTAATAAAAAAAGTAATATTACTAATAAGTGGTGAGAGAGTTTTAGGAAGGTTAACATAAGAAATTAAGACTTATTTTTGAATATGCACTTTCAAGTCTACATACTAGACAAACCAGGACTCAGGTGTCATTGGTGTTTTAATCATTTTAGTTGCTTCTGTAAATAAGTGTGAGCATTGCAACACCTTCAAACACCCTTTGCTTTTAAAAGTCTTATCTAAGGGGCCAATTCTTTCTTGTGAGAAAGCTATCCAGCTAGCTTGCGGAATGTTGGTGGTTCTACTCAGGTGCCTGTTTGTGCCTGATTTAGTAATGCATGGAAGGGCACCTTTGGTCTTTCCTCACCAGTAAATCTAGTTAGTCACCATATGACCTATACTATGTTAGTGTTACATAAAACCTAATCCGAACCCCCTCATCCCCCACCCCCAAAAACAAAGTCTCATCCTAGAGACTTGGCATGGTGAAGTTTCTAGGGATCAAAGTTCAATATTATTACCTCTAGATTTTTGACCCACTTTTAATAGGGTACATTTGCCAGTTTGGCATACTAATACCTGATCACGCATAAAAAAAAGTATTATATGAATGCTAATAGACATTTATTATCGATATGATTTGTCTTTTAAAGATTGACCAGTTGTGGGAGTTCAGTGCTCCAAATCTTCTGGTGAGACTTAATTACTGGAGTCTTTGTTTTCTAATGGCCATTTGAGATTCTTAACTAGAAATAGACTTACTACTGTGTATAAATAATTGAAATACGGCAATAGCGCTGCAAGGATTAGTAAAACCATGAAAGCTTTTGTTCTTTCGCATTGACTTATAGAATATTCAACTTCTGTACATTGCATACAAGTGAACATGAGTAAAGACATCAAAGGGTTCAGGTTTATTGCCTTGCTAAGAACAAAAGAACTAGGTAAGTTGATGTCATTAGCTGCTTTAACCTTAATTGAAGAGAAAGGTCTTAAAGAGCTTTTGTTGAAGATATTATTTATATGGAGGTGAGCAGCAGAACAGTATCTAATGCATTAAAGCATGTTTGCTAACAAAATCAGGGCAAAGCCTTTGCTAAATTGTGAAGACAAAACCATGGGAAAGTCATATGTCACCTAAGTAATTTAATAAGGGTTCAAATTAGCATGTGTAATGCTATGAGGTCAAAGCCTTTGGTGAGGTCAAAGCCTTTGGTGAGGTCAAAGCATTTAATGAGGTCAAAGCATTTGGTAATACAAAAGAGGCTTACACTACCTTGTAACAAAGTTTCATCACATTGCATTTATCCCTGAATCTGCTAATCTGTGGAATGGTATTGCCCTGCTTTGAATTTTGAGCAATTCCTTAAAATGTAAGGGACTTTGCTATCAAAATATAAAAATTGGCAACAGTTTGAGCTTAAAAAAGATGGTCAAGGCAGATTAGTTTTGGTTCCAGCAGATTAAGGGTTAAGTTTGGAGATGAAAAAATCAGGGCAGTATATCTAAAGGTAACATGTAATGGCAAAAGCCTATAGGTACTTAAGTATACAGCAAAACATTTTGAATTCACTTTAGAATCTGACTTTGACCTATATGGTATATTAAATTTTAACAATTATAAATTATAGAAAAACACTTTGGATGGTGATGGGGTTTTAAATTTTGTGAAACGTGCTTTTGTGGCACGTTCCCTCATATTATACTCAACAAACCTGCTGTTACACTCACCCTTGGAGACAAATTATATAAATGTCAAGTTCATGGCTGAATGTTGGAATGGTTTTTTTTATGTATTTATTTTCTCATCATTACTTTGAATTGTGCTAAGTCTCAGATAGAGTCAAGTTCAATTATTTTTTTATTGTTATGTATAAGGCAGCTATAATAGAAAATTGTTTCTCATTGATGTGTATTATAGAGAATATGTTTGAAATCACATATTTTCTGTTAATGTATATATTTGAGAGTTTGTTTGTTCATTGTCAGGATTAAAACATTTTCAAATACTGTCGAAACGTAGTGCCTGTTGGCAGTGACTAATTCTGCACAAGGGACTAGTGCAGACCAAGGTTTGACAGCACATCTGTGCCGTCCTCCATATCTCGACAAACTGCTGTTCAATGTTTTAAAATGTTTCATCTAAATTAATGAATGTTTTTTCCAAATTTTAATGATGAATAGTCTCAATATGGACAATTTAGCTAGGGTAAGGTTTACAGATATTAAATTTCTCATTGTAGAATCATTTTAATAGGATAAATCCTCTTAACATTTGCTGAAGCCATCCAGGGGTTAGGTTTATGAATGGAGATTTCTTAGTAGGACTTACTGGGGGTCAACAGTTCATGTAAAGATCAAAGTAACACAATTTTTTCCTGGTCAGTTTGATTGCTGAAGATATAAAGTACAATATTATTAACATATTATTGCCAGAGATATTTTGTTATTAGAATCTAGTGGAACATAGATTAAAAAAGAAAAGAAAATTCAATATGCTTTAGTTACTATATAACTGAGATTAGTTAGATATTTTACAATGTGCCAAATCCCCAAACTTCACACAC